GAAATTGTTGTTTGGTAGAAATCAATATCGAAAGAGTTTCTTAATCAAATAACACCACTTTTGCCGGGTCGTAATTACAAAAAATGATTGAAGTTTGTTCTGCCTGCCCACATCTCGCGGACTGGCGATGTTAATTGAAAATAGTGTCGGTTTTCTACATCTATCTATCAATGTGGTACTAACCAATCAACGCGCTTGTAATGAAATGTTTCACTTTTTGGACAGAGTGCGTCAAACACGATGGGATATAAATAATTATTTCTTATTTTATTTGAATTCTTGAAAGATAAAGGAGTTTGACCGAATGCAGTGATAAAGTAAATTGTTAGAAACGTGTTCGTATTAAAGAAAATAAATCTTCCGCTGGTAATCGATAGAAAAGAGATGAAATAACGCTGTTTTATTTCAAATAGATATAATAATATTATCTAGGTACGTAAACACATTGCATCAATTGTCATAACAACAACAGCAACAGCGCCAACAACAACAACAACAACCATAATACTGTCTCAAAGCTCATCACTCTTTGCTTATTTTTGATTTCTTTTTATAATAACTTCTTGTATTAATTTCAAAACCTAAACGTTAAAACTTTGCCATATGAAACTTGTGTGCATAATGTTTTTATGAATTCGACCTCTTTACTCATTACCCTTACGATACAAAAAAGAAGTCCTATTATTAAAGAAATAAAGTCAACATTTGGAATCCTGTCATACGCTGCGGTGCTTCAACTGAACATGAACTATTCTATAATTCAAATTATTGATTGTAATTAGGACATCGGATATGCCGTCGTCTTTTAAGACGAACCTTTTGATATCAGAATTCGCAATATGAGATACATGTATGTTGAAAAAGACATATAATTATTTTTTGAAAATATTTCGCGTCTTAGGTTACAACTTAAAACAAAAGAAGATGAATCAACTGATATCTCATTTAAAATCCATGCTATAATATTAAAAGTTTTATAAATAGTTTCCTGTTATTTGCACACTGAATCGTTGACCCTTAGCTGAAGAGAAGACTTCGTGAACTTAATTCCAATATGGAAATTGCATTTATTATAATATAAATCTTTATTTCTTTTAACTTAGTTAATGCCTACCTAACTAGAATATGCTTTAAAAGGTATTGCATTGGTTCTTCAAAAAATAAATAATCAGTAAAATCTACATTGAAATAGTTGGAAATATTTTGTAAATTTCCCCCACCCATCCCAAGTCCACACGAATAAAGATAACTTTAACTTTTCTGTGGCAGTGATGTTGAAAAGTTATCATTTCTTATAATATTTTACAATAATGTTACATTTTCCTACTCTGTAGAAAGCAAAAATAAAATATTGTTTCCGTCTACGGATCTTTTGCTATATTCGATCTGGTAATAATCGAAATAAATCTAAAGATTGCCAGTTGGAACTAAGTGTCATGCATAAATGACTAGCACGTGTTGCTAAGCATAAAATCTAATTCTGTTCAAGACAATTATACCCTTAAGGCACGATGCGTAGGAATTTCTAAGAATGTCCCATTAACTGGTAGAAACCTTAATGGGTGCATCGTCTATTATATAAATGTCCGTTTTCTCATAAAAACGACGTTGCTTAGGCCATTATGCGCATAAAATCTTTGTTAAACTTTCTTTCAAGTAGGATAACTGTGGCTTATTTACTGACCTGTAAAACAATCATTTTAATTACTCTACTTAAATTGCAATAAAGGAAAAACAATCGATTGTATCCATGGAAACAATATCAACAAAAGTCTCATGCGCCATTTTTAATGGCCGTTGTTATGAAGCTATGCTGTGAAAAAGTATTATCTTGCTATTAATTAAAGGACCTGTTCTTTCGATAAATCAATTCACAGACAAACTCTCTCCGATAGCGCCGTCTTTAAAAGAAAGATCGTAAATAACAGAATGTACACAAATGTGCAAAGTGCGTATAACAATGCAAGGGAAGCTACTCGTACTCGACTTTGAACTATTGAAATATATTTTGCATCAGGTGGCACATGTATTTGAGAAGTTTTATAAGCTGGCTTTTTTAATGATAGCTTTGCATATTGCTGGAAAACAATTTAACTGTTTGTTAGTGTTTATTTGTTTGCTTGTTTTCTATTTGAAGAAAAAATCCTATTATTATTTTTAGACGTTTAAATGACATATTTCCCATCTTTTAAAAGATAAGTATAAAATTATGTTGTGTTTTTATGGTAAACATGTGATAAATAATGCAATTGAAAAAAAGTTTTATTTCTAAAAAAAGACAGGAAGCATTGCTTCGCCATGATTTATATTTGCATATGTAATATTTAAGAAAAACTGCCAGGATTGTATCACATTTATCCACTGAACATTCTTTCTCTGAAAGTGATTGAAAGCATATGCCAAACTTTAAATCAGACACAATATTTCATTATAAGACAGAAATTTCACTTTCTCTTGATGAAAACTTGATTTATCCAGATATTTGCCGCACGTGATCGCGTGCATAAACTAATAAGCTGCTAACGGGTACAAAAAAACTGTTTTATATTTCCCAAAATTGGTCAAAAACAACTAATTAATTCCAGAAACCGGTAATTTTATCAGGCACGTATTTCCCGGCCTTTTAGCTAAAATGACCAGTTAGAGTGTGTTTGAGAGAGAATATATTCCGGTTATTATTCGGAAATACAACTTATTACTTCTAGACTGGGCAATTATTTTCTGGGATGCTTTTAGAATGGTTTACTTTCTTTTTTTCTAACGATGGAACTTTTGTAAATCACAATAACGATAGGTCAACCTTAATCATCCGACTTTAAGGTGTCCTCAAAAGCAACATTTTTTTAATTCTTAAGTGAAAAAAAAAGAATTTAAAAAAGCAAAGCAGTCGGGAAGATAATAAGGTCTGGCAGTTCCACAAATGGTTTCCGGTATGACCAATCGTATGCTTATATTTTTAAGTATGTCAATGCACCACGCATGCGCATAGCTTGAAATAAATCGATTAGCGCAAAATAATTCCAAGAAGGGAGTGGGATTGTATCCATAAATGGTAATAAAGAAAATTAAAATCAACACGCTTATATAATATAAATATCTAGAAATATATGTTTTAGTTGCCAATTTGTATGTAGAAACATTTGCGTTCCCATATGATTTAGAAATTTGGCAAAAATGATGAACTACGCGTAAGAACTTGCGAAAGAATATTCCAATCTGGCACCTTGTTCTTATGAGAAACATATGCACCACAGTTATGTCACCTTTTTATGTCTTTTTATGTCTTTTCATGTCTCTTTGTTTCCTATTGTGTGACAGTCATAAAGGATAACGTGAAATTACCTAAACATTTAGTTATTTAGCTTTTCGTTACTTGTCGGGAATATTTAAAACTGACCATATATTCGGATGATACCATATTAAACTTTTTTCGCTATAAATGTAAGTAAATTAGTGTAATGTATGTATGTGTGCTCCGTTGTGATATGAAAGTGAAATATCTTAAGTAAATTTACTATTTTGAATCAATCATAAAGCGATGTATTACTTTATATTGGATACATGGTAAAACAAATACTTTCTTCCATACAATAAAGAAAAAACTTAGACTTGTTTATCTTGTCAGTGAATGTAGTTTTCATTAAATATGAGGCGGAAATTTGCGATGCATTACCTTTTTTATCCAATGGGAATTTTAAAAAAAAATGCCGCGGGGAAATGCATTTTTATGCACAATTTTATTGCAAAACTTAAATTGATTTCAATTAAGATAACACACAGGGCGTAGTTATCATGTTGAGCTGTTATCTTTGATATCTCTTTACGATCATTTATTAATATTATCAATGAAAAACCTTATATTTTGACATATTTCGATGTTTTCCCATGTGTTTTTAAGATATAACATATATTGTTGATTTAGGGGAATTTGTCGATTGGCGTTCTTGGCATAAACCAGGAGGCATGTGCTTTCAACACCGTCTTATAATTCAATAAATTCCATACAGGGAAAATATACTAGATATAGACTTATATAGAAATATTACACACAAATATTCAAATGTGCATATGAAACGAGGCACAAAAACACTTTACTTATAGGTCATAGTACATGGTGTTTTCTTGTTTCTGGAATTTCTGAAATGTCATAAATGGATATTTATGTCGCGAAAACTGGTGACTTTGTTTAATAATGGCGGGATAACATGGATTTTAACTTAGATTGTTTGGTTAATGTATGACGTGTGTAAATGGAAGAAATATTAAACGAAATTGTGAGAGCAAAACATGATGATGATGACGACGATGAGTATGTTTAAAAAGATTGTAATATTCTAAAAAGCATTCATTTCATTTGTCAATGAAATACTTTTTGAACAAACCCTTTAAAACCATTCACCATGAATGCCAATGCTCAAAACATCTACTTGACCAAGTACCGTTTCTACCCAAATATTGTGGGTTTTGTTGTGGAAACTTTACTTGTTAGGACAAAACCCTTTCATTTGATTGATATTATTTGTAGACTGTGAAACACTTTGATTCAATTATAGAGGAAGATAACAAGTTCTCTTTAACTAGATTGTCTGTAGTAGAATTGTAAGACCCGGTGTCAAACCAGAAAGATACTTAGTTACTTTACAAAATTTTCTTCTTTTTAGCTTTTGGTTTTGTTTTATTCATTTTTGTTTTACTTTACTTTTATTTACATGTCTGATCGAAATTATGCATGAGATCTTTTTACCACTTTCACATGCACGTTTTTTTACAGAAATGAATTTTTCCTCCTAGCTTTGGACGCTGCTGTGGTTTTGTCTTTGGTCTCTGTGTTACCCTTTGTTTAGATGAGGGAGCAACCTGTTTTATAAACACATTTTTGCATACCTATGCACATATGCTTTTTCTTTCCAGAGACATCAACATGATAGAAAAGGCCATTTTATAAGACAAAATTGATCATTTACCAACTGTTAACATTTTGTTATTATTATATTTTCCAGGCTTGACAGTGTATTGGGTAGTTTTGCGACCTACGCACGGCTAAAGGGCCGATACGATGACGACTGGATTGATAGATTAAACCATCTTTATACGACAATCATATTCATCATCTTCACAATCGTTGTCAGGTAAGAACACTTTAATGTTCATGTTCTCTTCTTAATAAGAACACTTTAATTGTCATGTTCTTTGCATATCAAGAAAACTTTGTGTCTATGTTCTCTTCTTATTGAGAACATTTTATTGTACGCGTTCTCTTCTTAATAAGAACACGTTAATGCTCAAGTTATTTTCTTAGTAAGGACACTTTAATGTTCATATTCTCTTCTTAGTAAGAACAATTTTATGTTCATGTTCTTTCCCAAGTAAGAACACTATAATGTTCGTGTTCTATTCTAAATAAGCACACTTTAATGTTCATATTCATTTCTTATTGAGAAAACTTTAATGTCCATGGTCTCTTCTTAGTAAGGACACTTCAATGTTCATGTTACCTTCTTATTAAGAACACTTTAATGTTCATGTTCTTTTCTTAACATGAACACTTTAATGTCTATGTTCTCGTCTAATTAAGAACACTTTAATGTTCATGTTCTATTCATAACAAAAACACTTTACTGTTTATGTTAGAATACTTAAAGATTCACCAGTTTCACAAACTGAATTTAAAAAAAAATTGAGAAAACTTTAATGTCCATGGTCTCTTCTTAGTAAGGACACTTCAATGTTCATGTTCTCTTCTTATTAAGAACACTTAAGAAAGCTTAAGAAAAGCGTTTGTTTTTATTGAACTGATTATATATATATACAAACTGAATTTAGTAACTCAACATTCTTGTGGTGACTTACTGGGGTCGTCGCCATGTGTCCTCACATAACAAAATACTCTCAGTCCATCAAGCGGAGTTGAGAGATGAACTGTGTCTTTAAAAAATTATTCTTTCTTCGCCAATGAGCTAAACTAATGTGTTTTAACTACGATGAGGGAAGCCAACGTATTACTTTTGCGGTACTACACTTATCGAAACTAGTTTTATAAGCAATGCACAGACTCTTAAAAATATGAATCTATTTAACAGAGAAAGGCCACCTACGTGAAAACATACGCTTGATATATTGCGATCTGTAAACAAATTATACTTATTAATATATCGTGGTACTGATGTTGGTAGTAAAGCGGAGACAGCAGGGCCATTTGTATACATATTGTAAATATCTATTAAGTGGTATTTGCAACAAATATACCTATTTATTGGTTACATACATCTGCCGCGTCTTTCATACAATACAATACGAAAATTGCAAGCTGTATTATTCAAAAACATGCGAAACAAAAGAATTTTATTATTTCAGTACGAAGCAGTATGTGGGCGAACCCATTCATTGCTGGTGCCCGGCGGAGTTCACAGATGCTATGGTGGACTACACAAACAATGTTTGTTGGGTGTCAAATACGTACTTTGTGCACTTTGATAATCCGTTACCCAGCTACAGTTTCACGAAAAAAGAGACTGAAATTGGTTACTATCAGTGGGTCCCAATGATTCTTCTCTTCCAAGCATTGTTATTTAAGGTGAGTTAGGCTAAAATGTATTTTACATGTATTATATATCGGTCACGTAAAATTAAAAAAAATACATTATATATGTCTTAAGATAGATGAATGCAGTTCAGTAAGTTAGCAAGGAAATTTCCTGTTATTTTTCTGAATTAATAGTCCTTTTTTAATTATAACAATATTAAAATATAATTAAAAAAACAACACCGGGTACCCGTCGCCGATCTATTTTAATAGTTCTTTGATCTATTGTTGTTTGGTTTTATGTTGCACCAACGCAAAAGATGTCATATGAGGACTTTTCAGCCCTGACCCTCCGTGCATTATTTTTGGCACGACTGGGCACTTGAGTAGAACCACCGATGTTCCGTATGCTTACTGGATAGCTTCCTCACATGAATAAGATCTAAAGTTCCTGGCGGAATTCGATTCTACAACGGCATTAACCTAAAGGGATCGAAAGGGTTGAAAAGTTGCTGTTGTTATGACGATGCAACCAAAGCCACCTCTACTATGGCGGACCAATATTTTAACATCTTTATCTTAAAATAAAACAAACCAGGTTTGTTGATATCGTTCTATGATATGTTATTGTTTTGTTCACGTTTTAGATTCCATGCATATTGTGGCGTATATTGACGGCGTCGGCGGGAGTCAACCTTGACAAGATTGTTACATTAGCAGCAGAGACCCAGTATATCTCGCCGGAAGAGCGTGAAAGAACAATTCGACATATCGTGAAATATATGGACCGTTGGTTAGAAAATGCGCGGGAATACAGGTCAGGCTGTTTTATACGGCTGCGGCAGACGATATCAAAATTCTGCTGTATCGTCTGCGGTAAGCGTTACGGAAACTACCTGGTGACTATATACATGTTTATAAAATTATTATACATGACCAACGCCGTTGGACAACTGTTTATATTAAATGAATTCCTCGGGACTAACTATAATGCATATGGGTTCGAGATCATGGGGAAACTGTCACGTGGAGAAGACTTTGAAGAAAGCCCACGTTTTCCCCGCGTGACGATGTGTGATTTTAACATACGTCAGTTAAATAACGTTCAAAAGTATAGCGTGCAGTGTGTTTTACCCATTAACCTGTTTAATGAGAAAATTTTTATGTTTATTTGGTTCTGGTTGGTGGCCGTGTCGGTTCTAAGCACGGCAAATTTTCTTATTTGGGCCTATATAATGATATTCAGACAGCATCGTATTCGGTACATGAAGAAATTCCTGCGCGTCAACGATTGTTATAAATCGGAGCTGGATAAGAAAATGGCTGTGAAATTTTGTGAACAGTATCTTCGCCAAGACGGAATTTTCGTCCTCAGACTTGTGGGTAAAAATGCAAATGACGTTTTAGTGTCAGAGTTAATTGTCCAGTTATGGCACTATTACAGGAATAAACCTTTATTTAAACACGCAACCAACCAGATATCAGACGATAATTCGAACGTTTGACTAACCGTTCGAAAGATTCTCGGAATTCTAAAAGCTCAACAGCACGTCCTTAGTGAGAAAACGCAAGCGGAACTCAATGAATTGATAGAAAATGACCGATACATTCCGAATGGCGGTGTTGTCCATTCCAGTTTCTCGGAAACGGAAGTTTAGAAGACACATAGATGGCGCTACGATAGCAAAATGGCGTCAGTAGCTTTTGTTTATATTCTCTTGCAACCAAAGAGAAAGTGCTAGCTTTAGCGAGGTTGTTAAAAATGCATTTTATTGTAAATAAGAGTGCAATATTTGTAGATAAACACCATGAGATAACTCCCGTATAGCATGCTCCTTCAGTTGTTTTGTCCCGAGAAATAAACGTGTTCGTGCATTGTCTTGTACTATGTGTAAGGTGTCTACGTCATCAAAAAATATATGCAGACCCAGACATGTTTACACGCTCTCAGTATTTTAACCAATCAGCGTATAGGGGCGGTGGCCAAGTGTCTGTTCTCAAATCACAACTATGTTTCACTACAAGGGATCCATGCAAGATCTTTGTTCAAAGAAAAAATTAAATGCTAAAAATATATTAAATATACAAAAGAATAATTATTTTTCATTGGCGAATTTCTAGAACATATTTTTTACATATTTTGGCAACTAAATTCATGTGTCAACAAATAATTATATCATTTCCTTTCTATCTGAAGTAACAATCAATTGATATAAATCAAAATGAAATTTTATAGAAAGAAAATCACTTAAAACTATGGAACAGGCATCTGTTAGGAAGAAAGCGTTTATTTATTTATTTATTCCTAAAATGTAATATTTATTACTTAAGTTTTCGCATCAAAGAAAAACAAAAGTTTGTTTAAAATACTGATTGCACGTAAATCATGGCGGCGTGCACAAATGCAAAGGAATTATGTTGATAAAAAAGTATTTCAATTATATACTAAACAAATGTTGTTTAGTAAAATATGCATATATATACAAGCATATCATATAAATGTAGAGTCATAGGGTGTGTAATGTGTATTGCAATGTTTCATGATGTTGTTTTGATTGAGGATGGGAGGGGGTCGTATCAATTTTGTCAATATTTTTGTTCCTCTTTTCAATTGTGAACCAAACATTTTAGAAATACGAATGATTAAATTGAACATTTAATAGAACTTTCAACCTACACGATGAAGATGCAATTAAAATGTAGAAAAAAATCATGAACAACTGATATTATTTCAAGAAAAAAATTGTTTGATCTAATACGTGCTTAAACCTATATATTACGAGGTCTTTGTATAATTTAAAGTATCCCCTCAGACGCGTTTATTTATGCAGCTACGCCCCTGGTATTTGTATAAATTCATAGTTCATCTGATCACAAAATAAAAACAACATTAAATATTTTTACATATTTTATAACGTCATTACAATGACATCATTCTAATCAACCCAAATGAATTGTATCTATCCCAAAGTTATCAATTTAACCCAAAGCTTTGTATTATTTTGTTAAGCTGTTGAATAACCCTTATTTATGACTTAAATGTTTCTATTCCGGCACCGCATATTGTACACATATTCTGTTAACAGTTAATGCCTTTTACATAATGTACATTAAAGACATTGAAAGAGGACATATCTTAAAAATTCTAATTTGTAACTCGACTTTTTTATTTCATTTTCTAGTAAGAAAGGGAATTAGGATGTTTGAAAACGTTTGAATGATATTCATTTTAATTTATTTGGTGCCAAAATGGTTGAACTACGTCTGAATGCTTGCGCACTTTCTGCTTTCTTAACCCTTAGCCTTCCTATAGCGACCACATTAGTCTTTGAAAGAAAAAGCTTGGTTGTTCAGCAGTCGCTTAGTATCTAAGCAGGTACCATGCTTTATTATTATTTCATCTTCTTCTTGTTTAAATTCGAGCAGTGGATTTTTTAAAAATAATAGCAGACGCCATTTTTAGCAGACGACATTTACACCAGTATGCGGTGAAACGGTGAATTTCCAATTAATTCCATTTCATCTTGTTGTTTAAAAAAAATTTTGAATCATTTCCTTTAAAACCGATTGTTTAAACTTGTTTATTGTCCCTTTTTTGTAAATGAAAAATGATATTAGAACACCAGATTCCTTTTTATATAGAATTTAATTTAATACTTTAACAAAAATATAAACATATTTTGCTCTGTAATTAATCATGGTCCCTAATGGACACCAGTATAAGTAGAATAAAGTTTTTTTTCTTTTTTTTTTTTCTTTTTTTTAAATATTTTAACATTTTATTATATGACTGTACAATATTTACCTGATTTTTTAAAACATAGATTATGTAAGTAACACGTGCAAATATAAAATTCAAAACATGGGTTTGCATTTTAATGACTTCAAATATATAACTAGATTTTTTGATGAAAATGAGAATGAATATAAAGAAAGTGTCTGTTCGCAGGTAGAACATATGGTATCAAATGAAATGAATAAAAATGCTTATTTTAAGGATAATTTTTTACAGATAATTATTAAAATGTTTTTTTTTCTTAACTTTACATATCTATTATACAAAGCATATGATTTACAAACATAAATATGAAAACGTTAGATCTGTCATAGTTATAGGAAGCTATTTCCCAATTTCCGTAGAATCAAAGAAACACTGGTTCTCTTTCACAAACATAGTGCAAGTCTTTTGAACATCTCCGAGCATTCCAATATTGACCTGTCATCACCATACACGAGCGCCCTACAGTGTCACTCATTTCCAAGTCTGGATCCCAATTAACATATGACACGTTCTCACCGGTGACCCAGCGCCAGGAATCATCATTGTTATATTTGAATCCTCCAATCCAAACATTACCCGGTGACAATTCTTCGATTTCTTGTAGTTTATTAAAGTAATCGACAAAAGATGTACTCTCCTGTTCATTTTGTATTATCGCCAGACGACTTCCTAGACGCTCGCATGCTTCTTCACTTTGAAACCAGTCCAGCTTCCGGTGAAGCGCGAGATAATAACATTTACTATTTCCGCTTGTCCAGTTTGGTGGACAACTTCTTTCTGTCAGTTTTGCAGATATTTTCCCTATCTCAGTCAAAAGAAATTGAATTTGTCGATATATTTTCTCAAATAGTTCATATTGATAAGTGTATTCCCAAACGGGTGGGTGATTTTTCACCGGAAGTGATGAAACAATGACGAAATAAACACATAATAAAGTGACTTTCGTAACAGACTTCATAACTGTATTTTTCTCACAGAATTTACCAACACCAATTCAAATTTTAATCCTTTTCCTTCGAATTTGATTTTGATATTGTTGCATAAGTGATGAGCTAGTTTTATATCCACATGTCACGCGTGATGTTACGAAAAATATTAAATATAGATACGAACTATGAATGAATTGACAGGCCTCATCTTTTTACACCTATCTATAGCACGTGATGACGACTGACATGACCAGAACCGTGATTTGAAATATATAAAACACGCACTAGTAAAATTTTAATAATAATGAAAATGCCTCGTTTACGCATAGTGATGAAAAAGACCCCGTTTACATGAAATGGTTATTGTCGAATTGACACTTTTTTAATATATATAAACATGTCCAGATTCTTTCACCAAAGTCAAGTTGTTTTATTTAGAAACTTTCATACATTTTTTCGGAACGATACAAGAAATAGTGTTCCATAATTGTACGCATTTATGGAATTGCTTTCTTTCTTTGAAGTAACCTCAGAAAAGAATTTAATATTCATATTTTCTCAAGAAAATACAATAACGAGAAATATAAAGCTTTTATCGAGTATCCTTTAAAAGGCCATATATAGTTCAACGGCGGTAACATTTGACTTTTGTTCTTTTATGCTGTTTTCTTTATTGCATTTGGCGCTTGATTGCTAAAACGATATTTAATAAGCACTTGTAAGCAAAGGAAATTTCAAACTTATTCCATATTTTATTATCTATTTATTTGCGACTAATTTAATATTTTTACGCGCACCATACAAGAAAAGCATTGCCATTAAAAAGGGAAAGAAAATCTCATTGGCTACATATTAGATTTCCCTGTATAAATGTCTTAATAGTTTTCTGTAGTTTCTTCTAAATGTCATATGTAGAATTCGTCTTTTGGCGCAATATATGGTGGTGAATGACGACATTGTTCCGTTGCTATGTTTGGCACGTGCGGTCAACGCTTATGACAGTATGAAGTCTGTAAATAAAAACCTTCACTAAAGGCAGTTGACCGACGGAAGATTTGTCCTAAACGCTGACCGCCGCCATTTTAAACGCCATGTTTGTTCTATTTATAGTCTTCCCCTCCCGTTTCTAAAAAAAAACTCTATCACTTTGTAAAGCACCGTAAAAAAACTGTCAGAGAAGTGTATATGGGTTGATTTTAGCTGTAATTTGAATCTCTTTAAGTATTTTATTAATATTTTGTGTTTTAGTGTCTATTCATAGAAAGTGTTTGTTTATGAAGTTATAAAATGTCATGTACATGACACTGATCTGATTGTTCAAATTCAAAGCATTTTGAATGCGTTTAGATTCTAGTATGTAGTTATAACTAATTATGTATATATTTTTCATTTTCTTATCGAAAATCGAAACATTTTTGATCTATAATATGGTCTCTTTTGTTATACACAGTACATAATATTGTTATATATGATGAATAATTTTAATCATAAGTTTCTTTTAATTTACACTTTTATGTCTCTTACAAAATATTGAAGACGAAATGTAGGTCAGTTATTTATACAGTTATTTGCACAAATTCAGTTTAATTGTTTGTAATTAGCGGGTTAATTTTTTCGGATTTGACCTTAGTTTCGACAACGAAAATACTAGGGTAAAAAAGACTGCTTTCGAGACCATTGTATTTCATGAGGTATTGTTTTCAAATTAAGCAACATATCTAATATACTGCCCTTTTTGCATTCTTTGTTTTATAAGTGACGGGAGCGATGCACCTATTTTGAAAAAAAAAGGCTTACTTATATTGTTCTGATTATATCAACAGTTGAACAACCAAAATAAAAGAATGGGAATTTGCAAAATATCGTGCGGGTTTTTTTTTTTTTCTTTTTGAAATACAGGACAAAATAGAGTAAATTTTTGACAGACATTTTACTTTATTAGTTATATATGTTATACTTATTTAATTTGCTAAGAAACTGTTTTTGAGCTCCATTGTTTATTTCAAATCCTGTTAAATCCCTGTAAATATATTATGTTTGAAGCATCAGTTTTTAATATATCCAGTGGTGGTTCAGTGTATTGTTTTATTGTATTTTTTATTTTTAAAAATTCATTTTTTTTTGCATTAAAAAGAGACCAAAGAAAAAGAATACTTACTTATTAGGCCAAAAAAAAACATTACAAACTCATTATTAGCGTTCATCTTCAAGTCGCGCCAAATGCCAATGCTTTTAAAAGCGCGGATTTCGCCACACTTGTATTGTTAACATTTACGTCTAATTTTAATGTTGACGATTTTTGAAAATGTCAATTTGTTTACATATGTACTTAGTTTGGATTGATTTCAAAATGCGTATTGAATGTATATGTTCTAAAACTTACAGACGAAGCATAATTATGTCTGTATACTAATTGTTTTACGACTGCGTGCGCAGACGTAACATACCGGATATATTTCCCTGTGGACCGGTGTTTTAACTGGCTTCATACAGGGTTTTAAATTGACAAACAATATTATAAAAATCTTATTTTCCGCTGACAAAGAAAATGTTTATCTATCAAATTTCTTTTATGTCTCGAAAATGCAGTTCTGTTGAAAGAGAGCCAACAATTTGTTTACGTGACTTTATTAAAATAGCAGAACTTAAAAAAAAACAGTCTAGGGCATTTTCCGCACAGTTAAAACTCTTATTTTTTTTTTTAAATGTTCAAATCTAATATTTTTTTTTTTGCTATAAAGACTTTTCTAATATGTTTTGAGTACATACAAAAGAAGATAATAATTATGTTTGTTACCTTTTTAAACTCTACACACTATAGGCAACCACAATATGAAAATATTGTGTCATTTAAAAAAAATGGCAGTTTTTTTGTAAAAAAGGCCAAATCAACTTTACCAGTAATAGTGAATGCAGCTACTCTGTTTATTAGTTAAAAGTAAAAAATCTTCATTATTTTTTTAATTAAGCTGACACTGACTTCTTATATCATTTACAGTGTTTCACCAAAGTTTCAAAAATGTCAAAATGTTAAAGAAATTAATACGATTATATATAAAAATTGCATTCGATTCTGTTCTAGTCTGTTGTTTTTCGCATTTACAACATTTTTACTAAATCTGAGCTAATGTTTCTTTGCGCATGCGCAATTTAACCATTGAAATTTATGTACATTTTGTTTGTTATTTGTTTGTAGAAAATGTTACTTAAATGTCTCATCAACGTATTACATTTGTATTTGTAAATAGTGAATGGTTATTGAGAAATGTTTTTTTTTGTTTCATATTTAAAAAGCACGTGTTGTGTAAGATTGCACGTGTTTGTTAGTGATGTCATATATTTTATAACCAGTTCGTTACGTCATCTAATATTTAGAATCTTTTTACTGACAACAGTGATCACAGAGAATGTTGTGTTCATTTCAATACTCCCTACAGCAGGAAAACTTCTCCAGGAAACACGTGACTCTGTCAATGTCTTTAAATAGTAACATTATTGAGGTCAATATCTATAAATAGCAACATGCGTGTGGCATGACACGAGATTTTCTTGAATATGATACGGCATAATAGCATTTCATATTATATCTTTAGAAACATTTTTGCTGCTTTTAGATATTGAAACAGTTTCAGGATGAATCTCTTTAAAAAATGATAATGATACAAAATGAAACAAATGTACGAAATTTATGGATTTATGGACCGTAAATACACTTTTCATAGCTCTAAAAATTATTGACAAACAATAAACTTAACAATAATTACATATGTTTGTATCTTATATTAGATTCGTTGACAGAGCATCGTGTTCAAGTAACGGAGAAAGTTAAACCGTGTCAGAAGGAAAGGTGTCTTAGAACAGACAGTGGCGAATCTTCAAGTATACAATGTCATTAAAGTCACATTATGCCTCAGCAACGAACAATCTTTTACTTCTTTAGAAAAGTCAAACATGAATTATTCTAATATTGAATTTTGAACAAGTTAGATGCTAGTAATCTGAAGAAAATAGCGATAAATGTAAAAATAATGTGTCATAAAAGTAGCAAAATATTAACAAAGCAGTATTTTGACTTCCATACAAAATACTATATTACTATAACTGTACAAACTGCCAAAAACAGCAGATGAAAGAAATATTTCAGGTAATTTGCCAATGAGTAACTTTTTGGAAACTAAAAGTACACCAAAAAGAAGCTTTTGAGAAATATAAATAAAAGCATTTCTGAGGCATAATGGGCCTTTAACGCTTTTCTTTGATCAAGCAATGTGTACAATTCTTTGACTAACATGAAATCGAGCTATTTTGATAGTTTCTGGCAAAAATATATGTCAATGTCACAAGTAAGGCACCTTTTCTGTTGACATGATTCATATTTAGAGGGGATTGTATATAAATGAAGGAACAATAGACAGTTATTAGTCTCATTTCTTACGGAATAAACTATGCACAACAGAATTTGCTTTCGTTTGTTATTCAATATTATTACCCAAGCTCTTTTTGTAATGTCAATTTCCCATTGGCCAATGGGAGTTATTCTACGACCATGATAACACATAGGAAGTCCACGATTACCACGTCCACCAACGACTTCGACCATAAAGAAGACTTTTACGATTACAAGTATAATTACTAATGTCCCAATAAAGTATTAAGGTAACAGTATTTTCCTCCTCGGGATGATTCATAAACCTATGCGTTATTTAAATATTATCTCTTCATATCTGAAGCATAGGAACCTTCCATTTATGGTGTTAACTTTCGGCATGTACGTTAACTTTTGTCTCCATGTAAGGAATCTCTTCAGCATGGTTGAACCCTTTTTATAAATTACCTTTTATAATGATATTGAAAATAGTGATTTACTGACTTTTGTATTTAATATAATAAATAAATAAATAAAAATAAATAAAACATTATCTTGAATTATAAATATTGAAATCTTGTCAACAAAGAGGACTACTCTACTCTGATCGGTTCCTGCAAATGACGTCATACGAGGTCTCGCGGTGCTCCTAAATGTCATGGCCGACTGTGGTCGGCGTAATTGATGTTTCACAGTTAAATAGGCAATTTAAATGACGGTATTAATATTTTGATTCTTTAAATGGATTTTTTAAATGGTATAGAACGATATTAAAATAATTGTTTTATCGCAAAATGCACAAGAATTCATTGGGGCAAGGGTATTTGCAAATGAAAAATAAGGTTAAATCAACGTATGTTATTCTGGTTAGGTTTCGTAACGGGTCTAATCCAAAACTTTAATGCCGCATCAAATGAAAAACAAAAATGTTAAAAAACGGCATATAAAGTTTTGGAAGTCAGAACTAGGCCCAACCGACTTTTGTTCGAGTTATGCTTGAATTATCATATATTCGTGTAGATCTATGTTTCGATATAAATTGACCCATTCTGATGGCTTGGTTTCATAAATTTTCGAGCTTTCAACGAAGAACACCGAATATTGGTTAGTGACAGGATAAGTGAATTAAAAATCATGATAAGACTGACCCCTGCTCATCAGGCTCGGCAGGGTCAGCAGGTGGGAGTGGCCAGCGGGCCAGGATGGCCCTTCTTGTATTCATTCTATGTGTGGAACCTTTCTTCTTAGGATGCATTGTAGTATTATGCAGCAAGTACTCTGGGTAGATCTAGCAATTGAGGGTGGCAGCAGGTAGTTGTGGTTTTCGTTATACAGTTCGTGCTGACGAAGAGGCCGTGTAAGTCCGTACGAGGCCGAGTGAGACCGTGTATACCCGTACTATACCGTGTCTGTCATGTCTGATTCGTACATGAGCCGTATTGGTCGTATGGCGATCGTATGAAAGAAACCCTTTGTGCACTCGTATGAATCGTACCGTAACCGTGTGACATTCGGATGTTAATCGGGTGTTGGATGTAGGACTTCGGGACGGTCTCGAACGATTCCATACGATTGGTTGGGCTCACTCGTGGAGTGGAGTTCAAATACGGTTGTATGTACGGTCGTTTATACGATCATACACGGACAATACAATCGTACCAGTTTTTTTTTAAAGTTTTAAAAATCATACACGGCTTAAACGGATACACTCGAATGGCCCGAATGTAACTTGGATAAAATAAAAAAATAAAAATTAACACGGGTGGTCAACCGTATAAGTACGGAATGCCGTTAGGGCCATTGCCTATGAATGTGTTGATCTGAAACGCGATAGTCGATAGTACGATGGTGAAAACGCGAAATCACGAAACTATGATGGTGAAAACGCGAAAGCACGATGATGAAAACGCGAAAGTACGATGATGAAAACGCGACAGTACGATACTACGATGATGAAAACGCGATAAACTATCGTGTTTTCACCATCGTACTGTCGCGTTTTCACCATTAAAATTTATAAAAATAAATAAGAAAATCAGATATAAGCTTTTTGTAAAGCTGAATAAGAAATGAAATTTGTTTTCCTGAACTGTTGGTTTGTCGATGTGGTGTTCTAAAATTGAAAACTTTTTCAATTATACATGATTTTTTTCTTATAGATGATATTTAATCACTCCTGTCTATAGTCACGTGGTAGAACTGCTTGTGTACTGGTACCTAATGGATGACGTATTAAAAATGGATTTAGCTCAATACAGGATTGGAGCAGTACCTCTAGACGCTTGCAGAAATCATGATCACAAAATAGACAAATATCGTTTTTTTCGCCGAATTTTACATTTTGCCTTGATTATCGTACTTGATTCAATGTGAAAAGATGAATTAGACCTGTTAAAGTTCATTCCGTTGGGTAAAAAGACAAGATTTTAGCATTTTATCATTCAAGCGCCTTGTCCGGTATATACCGGAATACGGTATTTAGTGTGGTGCTCCAATCCTTTGTTTAGTCACAGCCATTAACAATTAATGAGATAGATAAAATTTGCATGTGAAAAGTTGTTACAAATATAGATCTAAATGTAATGAAAATTTAGCACGATTTAGACCTTTTTAGGGCCATAGTCCGTAACTTGATTGTTCTACAATCATTGAATAAATGAACAAAAGAAATAGTACTACATAATTGAACTCCAGTTGTTTTTTTCTATATTTGGCTATTTTTGGTGTAAGAGAGGTAACTCTGTTATCGTATTTTACCGAACGGTGACGAACAACACCGAACATGTGACCTTTGTTGACATAGTCTCGTATGTACACGTTTAATGTTATCGATGTGTATAGATATGTGTATTAAAACAGGATACTAAAACGTGGTTTGTTTTCATGTGGATTGAAAATGGCAGAAAGGAAATGATTAAGGTATGTTTAAACTTGAATTATTTCATAATTTTACTGTAGTAGGCCTACTGTACATCTTTTTAATTTTAAGTAAAATTTTGTTTCACGTATTTGACGTAAATTAAAAATTTTGATGTAAACAAACTAATATAATATTCTTATGTATAGCCAATAGGGCTAGTTTAGAACGGTATTTCGCCTAAAGGTTCTTTCGAGACAGATGATAAACTTTCTCAGATAGTCATCTTTAATTCTCACCTGTGAAATGTCAACTGATTTAATATAAACGAGGTATATGAGGTCACAGCCCTTAAACAGTTAAATCAGTTTATAAATGCACAAATTTTGTAGACTGACCTTACTAAAAATTGATTTGGCAAGAGACATGTATATATTCTACTAATCAAGTACACACCTTAATTAATGCACAAATATATGTCAATAATTTAACATATAGGCCCTATATCTGCTGAATGAAACAATAATTGTTACATGCAGTAATCCACTACTCTTGTTTTAGAACGGTAACAAAAACTGATTTCGAAGAGAAGAAATCCGAATCTTAAATCTCTAGTCTCGTATGAGAATTATAACTTACCAACAATATAATTGAAAACTTGTGATTCATTTTGGAATTTTTGGCAGTCAAAAAATAGAAGCATGTACTTGAAACTACTGTCTAGGTACATTTACTGTTCGTGACTGAAATATCACATTCTAATTTCATTTTTAAAAGAAAAAATAGACATACGTTTTCGATGAAACTGAAGTTGATGGCTGGTTTTTCTAAATGTAAGGTTATGGGCCACATCAGAGCTTTGCCAAAACTTAAATGAATATTTAAATTAGATAGAGGCCAAAATGTATTTTGGTGTTTCACGTGAGCACGTGATTTATATCATTATTCTGCGGCTCAAGTTTTATGTATGCGGTAACATTTTTTTATTACTTTTTTTACCTCTTTACTAGCTAGCGACCATTGCAGACCAAGATCAGCCGGCACGTACGGTACGTATCATCTTATCATGGTCTGCACTGTACGCTACTCGGTTTGAACACTGAGATATTGAAAATTTCCCTAAATCTATAAATGGTTCTGCCGTGATTGAAAGAGGGACAAGTTTATTTAAGATGTTAAACGTGGTAAGGGTTAAAGAGGAAAAACCGTGAATATTTGATCCTTTTAGTGTGTGCTACATTGATTATTCAAAAGACAATGTATGCATCTATAATTCATACAGTGTAACACTTTAAAGGACAGGTAAGACATTGTTCGGTGTATCGTACATGTTTACATACGATCTCGTACTTCCGCATTCAACATTTGAATAATATATCAGTTAATTTATAATTAACAGTTTAATATTTGTATTCTATATGTTATATCAAAGGATACATACCATACGCATCAATAGATACTAGACAGGTTAATCAAATTAAGTTAAAACGAGATCCCACGATAAACGGTAACCAATCATTTTTTCTCGGAGAAGAAACCTGAATATACGATAAAAACAACGAAATTAACGAAACCTCAATGATTCAAAAATACTCCGATTTACTGGGTTAAACGAGGAGATCCATTAGAAATCATTGAAATAAAATTCAATAAAACCTTGATGGCAGACACAACATCACCCTTACTGTGACACACTTCTTATGTGATTCAACTTTGATGTCTTTCAGATACCTTTATTTGAATGGTTAATAAAATTTTGCCATATTTACATACCATTTCTCATTCCATCACTTGTCCTTTGTGCATATATCAGCAACTCGAAACTGCCCCATACTATGGCATGTTAAATAACCTACCCAAGTCCTGTACGTACATTGTCAGTTGTAGCATTACGACATGGGCTCGCTTTCGTTATAACAATAGAAATGTAATGTGTACATGTATATTAAAAAGTTGATACACGTCTGTTTTCCCCAAGCTGTTGAATTAATCGATGAAATTGGTTTTTGAAAGCCTTAAAGAAAAAATGTTAATATTGAGCTGTTATGTTGCTAGCCATAATATGGAAACATGTGTTATTACGAAAACAAATGTAAATATAAATATTGTTCAGGTATGGTTTATTGGTTAAAGATTGGATAATCAGAAGTTGGATATTGGTTTGTTTGAGTGAGAATAAATGAAAACCGACGTTAAAAACACGCGATATAATATGATGATTACCTTTATCATCATCATCACCATCATGTTCACCATAATTCACTTTCACCATCATCACCTATCACCAAAATCCTCTTTCATTCTCATGACTTCATCATTATCCACCACCCATACCCCTCCATTTAACAATTCCAAAACCACTTGCCCTCACCGCTGTAAGCATCCCACAATTTTTTTTTTCATAAGAACATCCACGCTTACAACTCTTTTCAACCACCACATCATCACTATCATCATCATCATTTTCATCATCATCATCATTTTCACAGATGTACATGTTGTCGTTTATATATGTATGTAATTGATCAGACATCACTCTTTATGAAGGTATTTTGTTTCATTTCAGATGAGAAGTACATGGAGCATGGCGGAGAGGTAAGATTAAATCTGTAGAGAATATTTATCTTTATTTCATCTAGTTATTGCCAAAAAAAAAAAAATATTAATGTGTGGCAAAGCCTCAAATATTATAAATAGCCCTTCAGTTATTTTAATCTTCTTTATCGACCTATTGTTGTTGTTGTTGTTGTCGTCGCTTTGAAAGAAAACTGACGTTAGTTGCCTTGGAAATTTTGATAGTAACGTATATTTAGTCGGAAAAAAATGTAAATATTGAACATGTATTTACTTTAGACTAAATCACAAGTTACAAGCTATTAAATGATACAGATGACGTCACCATATGACTTATAACTGTCTTATCTGCTATGATATTCATATTTCACTCATTATCTTGATCTTTGGGACATAAACTTGAACTTCATTGAGACTTAAAATTTGGATTTTTTACAAGAGTATGAGCAAAATTTGATAATAAAGTTATTTTATGTTAGAGAGCAAAGCAAAATACACTCTGAATTTATTAATAATCTGACTGGCCTGTTGCTTTAAGTTGAGATTAGTCAAACTCGTCTTTCCAGTTCCGGCGCCATGTGACTCGTGCGCCTTAAAACCAAACAAACATGTAACCCGACCAATCTGCATTTTTTCCCCTCAAAATTTTGACTATGTTCTCCTTACTGAACAGTGCTAGAACCTTGAATCATGAAAAAAAATGAAAATGGACAGAATTGACAGTACACATAATTAAATAGATAATTACTTACGAAATGTCATTGAAGTTTATTCATCATACTTTGCATACTCTGAATTCTTAGAATGATAGTTCCTTGTTTTTTTAACGTTTTTAGTTCTCGCGCCTGTTTTTCGACAAAAGTTGACCGTAGCTCCATTCTTTTACAACATGTCTTTATGTTAATCATATATTGCAGCGAAAATATCCAGACTGGGAAGCGGAATGTTCTCCAAGCAGCCGGTTTTCTCGTCGCAGCGGAAGTGTTCGGAGTCTGTTTACAGGAAGTACATGCGCACGCAAAAGAGTTACAACCACTTCATCGCCATTTTGAATTACCCATAATTCTAACCGTTGTGGACACAATCTCATTATTTATATTACTGAGGCTTGAATCTCTACACGGTCTACGTAAACATGCTGAGGGTCTGATAGTCACTTTTCTTTGCCATTTTGTTGTTGAATATCTGTTTAATTATTGGTATATTTACTCTAGGAATGATTCGTTCGCGGTTGGCTACTTTGAACCTGTGATATTAGTGGTGTTACTAAAATGGTGCACACGAATTGACGTCAGTGCACAAACGTTCGCCATTTTAACAGTAATGGCGTTATGCGCAGGAGTGACTTCCGGCGAAGTTCATATCTTGCTCAACACAAATAGGAACGGAATTATTATATTTCTAGTAATTTTCTTCACATGTCTGCGCAATATTGGACTAAGTTATCTTCACAACGACGGACTTGTTTTAAGATTCCGGAAATCCATTGCTATACCATACAGTTTTACAATTCTCTCTGTTGCTCTGATAATGAGCGCGTTCCACCTCACGTTTTGGGCACTTCCGGTGATGTTTTCGCTCATAGCCATGTTCGCCTCTGTAACAATGCTATACATGACCTCATCACTTTTAGAAAACTATTCTTTAGTGTCATTATCCGTCTTTGGACTTGTGTCTCAAATTTTTGTAAATATCGTCTGCATTCCTGTAGAGCATGGACATAATATTTTCATCTCGATCATCGGAGCGCTTCTTCTAATTATAGTGATTGGTGTCTACATCCGGTTTAATCTGAAAAACACACAGGACATACTGTCACCTCAAGGTAAGAGTATCATGATTATGGTAAATGTATGTTGTTAGATTTTAAATGTTGAATAGAAAATGATATATTTTTACTAACACCCTACAGTTGAAAAACGGGATGACAGTTGAAAGCGACGACACCACATGAACTATAGACACGTGTAATAAGTAGAGATAAAATATTGAGCAATCATATTTTTCTCAGAAAACCAAATGTACTATTAAAAAGCCTACCAGTAAAAGATTATGTTTACATGTTATGTTAACGTTTAAGTTATCATTAATTTAAAGTGACCAAAACATTTCAATTAGGTGATTTACTTGGCCAATAAGTAACCAAAAGCTTAATTTTTCTAGTCTTTGTGTTTTATTATAAGCCTTATTTATTCTATTGTTTCTATTCAAATCATGAGGTTAACCCGATATATTTATTATGCTCATTTCTTTTGATTTAGTTCCTGATCACGAAGTTTTCCCATGATATTTAATATGCATTTATCTTTGTTTCAGTTCCAAATCACGAGGTTTACTCACGATATTTAATATGCATATTTCTTATTTCTATGTTTCAGTTCCAAATCACGAGGTTTACACGCGACTTGAGTTTCTGATATTTACTGGTATGGTGTGCGGTCTCATATTGTATGTGTTCAAGCCGAAATTCAGTGAAAGAGATCTAAACAATCTACATTACGTTGGATTGGACAATATTGTGAAACGTTTGATTAATCACGAGTAGTTAGTTAAAACTTAATTACATAATTTTGTTAAGATACATGATTGTTTTGGATTTGTTATTGCTGTAAAGTTTATTTATGTTGATCTTCTTATTGAATATGTTTTACAAGGTACTTTCATTAAGAGATTTATAAATGAATAAGACTATACATGTTTATGCGAAAGTGATATAAATATATTGTTCACTTAAGCAGAATCTCATTTTGTTAGTGTTAACAACGTCCTTTAAAGAAAAATGTCTCTCTCATCATGTAAAATAATTTGTTTTCTCAAAGACTAACAAATAAACTCTACTTATTATTGTTACAGGCAAATACTTAACATTTATTAACAGAGGGTTTGTTTTACACATATTTATATATTTATTTTGTGGTTAATATTTTGTTAATGTAGTCTCATTAAAAAATAATGGTTATTTAATTAGTTAATTCACGGTGATACTTAAATAAAAACAATATACATGAAAGTTATTTGTCTCTAATTACTTTGTGCGCATGCGCATAATTTTTTTTTGTTGATTTTCCACTCACTATGTGTAGATGTGCGCATAATTTTTTTTTGTTGATTTTCCACTCACTATGTGTAGATGTACCTTGCATTGTATTTTGAATAGCCCATAATTGTTGTTTTAACTACTTATATCACATGTTAGTTTAATTAGGAAATGATCATGTAAAACCAGTCCGAATGTGACGTCTTGAAAATGGCAAATTATCCGTCAGTAATCGGGAAATTAGCTGCCTATAATCAACAGACAAATTATTATTAAAACAAGTGTTGGGTTTAAAAAGATTAACAAATTAAAACATTTATAATAAATGCATACTCTCCAGGAACGATGGTTAGGAAACTACCCACCTATATGACTGAAATGCTGTTGGGAAAAGGCGTAAAATCAAACAAACAAACAAATAAATGCATACTCAACCTGAAAGATGTTACAAATTTAATCAACAGTTTGTAAGCATTTGATTCAAAGGATGCGAAAGTACCCGATTACAACTGCTTGTATTAGAAACTACACAGGTCGCAGATTTATGTTTCTCCAGGGTTAAGCGTTTGCTTCCTTTACTTCACTGGGGATGGGGGGGGTCTACCTACACTACCTTCATACTCTAAAGCGGTTTACTTATAATACATAATTGGATTTATCTATACAAAGCCTGAAACTATACTTCATCATATGTGGAATACCAAAGGCGTAAAACTATGTTGCCCTTTAAACACAAAAGGTAAATATATGCTGCTTGAGTCATAAATTTATGCTACACAAAGAGTATACCTTTGATAAATAATAGGTAAATCTATGCTTTGCAAGTGGTATACTCGTGCTACACAACGGGTATACAATTGCGTCACAAGGATTATATTTATACAACACTTCAGGTATACCTTTACAAGGGTTACACCTATGTCACACAAGGGGTATGCATATAGTGCACATTGGGTATAACTATGCAACAAAGGGGGTATGTCTATACACAACTGGTTAACCCTATGCTAGCGCTGCACGGCAGGTAAATCTATGCTTCTTAGAGGTAAGCCCTGTGCTACTTAAAGGTTATAACTGTCCTACACGAATGATATATTTAAAATACACAAGGGTTATACCTATGCTACACAAAAAGTGTTAACCTATGCTACAAAATGGATATGCATATATACTACATAGTCAAGTGGTATACCTATACAACGCAAGGGATATACCTTGCAACATAACTGGTAAATTTACTGGAGGACAAGCCCAATGCTAAACAAGGGTTACACCTGTCCTACACAAAGTTTATACTTATGCTACACAAGAGTTCCACCTATGCTACATGTAAGGGGAATACTTAGGCTACAAATGAGGTATGATACACTTCTATTGAAATATATTGATGCTACATAAATAGCTTATCTATGAAACTCAAAGAATGAACCTATGTTGCACAAGGGGTAAACCTATGCTACACAAGAGCTTAACTTTAGTTACTCAAAGAGTATACAAATGCTGCACAGGGGTAAACATTTACTGCACGAAATCTATGCTACTGAAGGGCAAAAGCTATGCTATGTACGGGGTACAGGAGGGTACATGCACGCATGCACTACGCAAAAATATTGCCTTAATTACACAATGTATCTGTAACAAAATCGGTTAAATCAACCATACGGCGAAAGGATACAAATGAAAATTCATAGATGTGTCCACAAGATCCCAGGAGTAATCCAAACGACACTTACAAGTTATTCACACCGCTCGTGGGAACTTACAGTACTTTGATTCACAAAAATGCCGACATATGGGAGCTAACTCGTGAAGACATGCAACAATCAAAAACTACATGAATTCCCTTTGAAATTTTTGCAGTGGTCAGTTTTATCAGTCAGGCATGATGATACTTGCTAAGCTTACAAGTCAAAGTGCATACTGAACACCCTGAAAAGTATAGCCTATTTCAAAATGGATACAAAAATGTCTTGTCACTGACAAGGTAAGTGCGTTCCTGTAACTTATGCAATCACTCGAAACCATCTCTCTGATCATATGTTCAGGTGAATTTACAAGAACATTTGGTTATTTATGCTCGAATTTATGTTTCTTACATAATCTTTAACAGGATTATGTGTTATATTGGAACTGACTATAGATATGCCACACTATAGAAATACCACATGGATAGCTATTTAGAAAATAATACACTATACATTAGTGTAGGTCGTTGGCTTATTTAACACTGGATTATAAATCTAACTGGGGAACTACTATTTCTTTGTCATCTTGACTATTTGCTATAGCGCCAAAACTTCTTTTCTGTAGCGTTATATACAATGCATTTGAACTGGATATTGATATAGGTTAAAGAACATTTCAATAGAATATAATAAAATGATGAAGGATAAACGCATTTCTAAAACTGGGCAGACGGACGGCGGATACGGTTGGGTAGTAGTAATGTCTGCATTTTTTATTGGATTTATTACCGACGGATTGGTGTTTTCCGTCGGTATTTTGCTTGTCGAGTTACTCGAACAGTTTCAGCAAGGGAGAGCAGCCACGGTTGCAATTGCATCTATTATGACAGGAGTTATGCATCTTGTAGGTAAACAGTTTAGATTTTAGATGTGTTGGATTATTTGAATAATATAAACAATTTGTTTTTCTTCACAAACTAAAACGATATACATGTAAACATTTTCAGGGACATATATAAATAATATTCCTGTCATTTACAAAAAAAAATCTGAAAATGAAGTTATCTCTCAGAAACAATGAAAACAACAGTATCATATGAATAATTATTATTTTCTGATTTATTCCGGTATTTCATGAATAACAAGAAGCGCCGCAATGCGACGAAAATCAGGTTTTCAACGACCAAATTTTGATGTGACAGCAATCAATAGGTCAAAGTACACTGAAGTTAATGAGTAGAAGCTGACAATTCTATTGTAAGCAAATGACCTTGAACTTGCTCCAAGATATCAAAGTAGCAATCCAAAGCTGCCACTCAGCAAGTTTATTGTCAAAAGGTCAAAGCAAACTCAAGTTATAACATGAAAACTAAATACATTAACCTTGATCACAGACACCTGGGTAGCAATCCCAAGCTGCCTCTTTATATAAGCTACCCATTCATCAAGTTTGGTGTCAAAAGGCCAAAGCAAACTCAAGTTATTTAGCGGAAACTGAATTTCTATTTTTAATAACAGTGACCTTGACCTTAATCACAGACACCTGGATAGCAATCCCAAGCTGCCTCTTGATATAAGCTATCCATACACCAAGTTTGGTGTCAATAGGCCAAAGCAAACTCAAGTTATTGAGCAGAAACTGAATTTCTATTTTTAGTAACAGTGACCTTGACCTTGATCACAGACACCTGGGTAGCAATCCCAAGCTGCCTCTTGATATAAGCTATCCATACACCAAGTTAGGTGTCAATAGGCCAAAGCAAACTCAAGTTATAGAGCGGAAACTGAATTTCTATTTTTAGTAACAGTGACCTTGACCTTGATCACAGACACCTGGGTAGCAATCCCAAGCTGCCTCTTGATATAAGCTATCCATACACCAAGTTTGGTGTCAATAGGCCAAAGCAAACTCAAGTTATTGAGCGGAAACTGAATTTCTATTTTTAGTAACAGTGACCTTGACCTTGATCACAGACACCTGGGTAGCAATCCCAAGCTGCCTCTTGATATAAGCTATCCATACACCAAGTTTGGTGTCAATAGGTCAAAGCAAACTCAAGTTATTGAGCGGAAACTGAATTTCTATTTTTAGTAACAGTGACCTTGACCTTGATCACAGACACCTGGGTAGCAATCCCAAGCTGCCTCTTGATATAAACTATCCATACACCAAGTTTGGTGTCAATAGGCCAAAGCAAACTAAAGTTATTGAGCGGAAACCAAAAGTTGCCGCCCGCCCGCCCGCCTGCCGACTTCGGCATTACAATAACCCGGTTTTCGTTGAAAACCTGGGTAAAAATCATTTTAACTTATATGCATGTACTGTGAGGGGCGGAAAATGGAAGCAAGAGCTATTACCTTCCATACCCGTACTATCGTGTGAATGCGCGCACAAAAATAGCAGGGAATGTGTGTTATAGTACCCTTCAGCAGGATTGGATGGTTCCCTTTACCAGGGGTTAATTAAATAATACATAGTATAAAAACAAAGTTTGTGCTTCCCCTTGACATGATAGTTTATAAAGTAAGATCTTTATGAGAAAACAGTACAATATATTCCAGGTCCAATTGTCGGCGCACTAATTGACCTTTATGGCTGCCGTGTTCTTGTAGTTACCGGGGCTGTGATCAGCTGTGTCGGGTTCGTGATCAGTAGTTTTGCCACCGGGATCTTGTTCCTGTGTTTGTCTTATGGTCTTCTGGCGGGTGAGTATGATGTTTAAAAAACAGTTTGGTTCCCTGCTTGTTGTCTAAACAATGCACAAACAGGGAAACCAGATGTCGTATATTGATATATATATTTTGTACCGGTAAAAAGAATTACCAGAATCGGCAAGGGATTACCGAAATATTTAAAATGTTTCAGTGTTCTTGTTTTCTTTCTTTTCGTCCCAAAGCCGAGTTATAGTTGGATTCAACCTTCCACGCACTTCTATTAAAACTTTAGATATTTGTCCACGCAACTCATTGCTATCATTATGAACATATTTGAGCCGCGCCATAACAAAACCAACATAATGGGTTTGCGACCAGCATGGATCCAGACCAGCCTGCGCACCCGCGCAGTCTGATCAGGATCCATGCTGTTCGCTATCAGTTTCTCTACTTGTTATAGGGTTTGTAAGCGAACAGCATGGATCCTGATCAGACTGCGCGGATGCGCAGGCTGGTCTGGATCCATGCTGGTCGCAAACCCATTATGTTGGTTTTGTCGTGACGCGGCTCATGTATGCTCAGATAAAATGAAATATTATCCGTCTCTAAAAAAACGAAAATCAATTTTCTCATTTTTGAGACCACATGTACTTTCATGATGATTCTTGTGCTTTTATTTTAGGTCTAGGGTTCGGATTAATGTATATACCTGCGGGAGTGTGTGTTATACGTCACTTTAACAAACGTCGAACTTTAGCCAATGGAATTGCCGTTTGCGGATCAGGTGATTATATTTTTATCGATCTTGACATAGCTCTTAAAAGTCTTCGCAAAATGGCATACATTTTTTATTCATCATGTATGTAAACGGCAAATCAAAGTGCTGTTCCTTAATTTATATCCTTAATTTATATCCGTATAAAACTTGTTAAAAAGGTCCTGATATACATGTATATCACTTTCATCATCTGGTTGGTATTATTTTACTTTTGATTATTTCATTTCTTGTAGTTTCCCTATATATTTCAGCAATTCTATTTATTTCGAATTATTATTTAAAACAAATTATTTTTATTAATCCTTTTATACCAATTTATTTATTCATTCATATTTACATGTGTTGCAGGAGTAGGCACATTTGTGTTTAATATTCTTACGCGCAAGTTGATAGACGAGTACAGCTGGAGAGGGACTCTTTTACTGGAAGCTGGAATAACACTGCAGGGTGCAGTTTTGGGACAACTCTTATTGCAACCGAAATTTAAACGCTCAAACGAACATGACCACAATTTAGAGACACTGATGGATAAAATAGATGCAAAATCAGTTATAGATACTGAAAATGAATACACGGACTCGTCCGGTGTAATTATAAGAAAATATCAAAAGGATAAAGTTACTGACAGCGAAAACATTTGTTTTGAAATTAAAACAGAAGCAAATTATACATCTAAAACTAAACCTTCTTCAGCTAAAGCCATCTCTAAGATGATACCAACTATAAACACGATATTGCATGTGGACCTACTGAAGGATTATAAATGCTGGTTGTTTTTGATGTCAGCATTCACGTTTCAGCTAGCATTCACCATACCGTTTAACCTGATACCAGACCAGGCCATTGGGACGGGAATGACGAAAAATCAGGCTGCATGGCTTACATCATCAATAGGTCAAAGGAATAAGTTTTTCATTCCAATTTACGTTTAACGTTTAAAATGTAAAAGAGCATGTTACATCCTTATCATGTGTGAAAAGTATAGCACTAAATGTGAAATTATTTGAAATGAAAGTAGCAGAATGTGAACAAAGCAGTATTTCAGCTTCCATACGAAATAGCTGTACTTAAAGTACTAATTGCCAAAAAGCAACACTCAGTAATTGGGAAATGAGTAACTTTTTGAAATAAAAAGCTTTTGAGAGAATACAAAGAAGGCATTTGTGAAGTATGGTTGGCCTTTAAATGTACTAATTGCCAAAAAGCAACACTCAGGTAATTGGGAAATGAGTAACTTTTTGAAATAAAAAGCTTTTGAGAGAATACAAAGAAGGCATTTGTGAAGTATGGTTGGCCTTTAAAGTTTGTCTTATCATACATTCCTCAATTTATGAATAAAAATTATCCTTTGTCCTCAGGAATACCTTTTTATTTCAGGAATATCAAATACAGTAAGCAGAATATTATTCGGTGTAATTGGTGATACCCGGTGCGTCAATAGAATGATCCTTCTGGAAATAATCCTTGTGTTAGCCGGTGTATCTACAGGGTTATCCTTCTTGTTAACAACATTCGAGTTAAAATTAATCTACACAAGTTTATATGGGTTTTTAGTAGGTGAGTTGACAAACCTGACTTATACTTTCATGTTGTATAATCCCTCTTTTTATAGAGGAGTTACCTCCTTGTCGGCGATGACATTGGGTTACGGTTTGCAAGTGTGAATATTTATATACTGTTGACACTTGCCCCTCAACGCTGTGGGTTCGAAACCTTTCAGGGACTTGGATTCTTTCATGCCCGGAAGCTGCCCAGCTAGCATACGGGACATCGATAGTTCTACTCAAGTGCCTAAAATAAAGCAGGGGCACCTCCCGCATTCGTGCTGGAGAGTTGCCATATGACGTAAAACCCAACCTTAAAACAAAATATTTATTATACTAAATAATTTATTACTCCTAGACTTATGAGAGCATAATAGGTCACTATCCAAGGCTCATAATTTTAACTAATATTTTCACAGAATTATGACCCTTTTTGAAAATTCTACATTATTCAGGCTGTTGTTTTGCTATCAAGTGCATAGAATAGTCAAGCACATTGTCCTACTGGAAGCCCTTGTTATAACTAGAACTTTATTTACTTCAAAATCAGTAAACATGAATCTGAAATCACTTCGATCTGTGTTACGACAAAGGCAAATCAAACTTGTCAAGCCGGTGCTAGGGGGCGTGAGGGATGTTGCACTTATTCATTATCCCTCATGTACAGACTCAATCAAACCGAGTCTGCAATTCTGTTATTTTGTTGTGATTAATGCTTCCGAGGGATCACTTTGTTTCCAGAATTTTGTACTTCACAACAGCAGGTGTCAAGTGCCGTGTGGCAGCCGTAAAAAGTTGCCCCGTACTTCACTTCAGTGTTGTTATATTTTCTGGTTCTTCGGGATCATTGATGCCAACACTATAAAGTGTTGAGAATTGAGTACCGCTCAAGCCGGTGCTAGGGGCCGTGAGGGATGTTGCACTTATTCATTATCCCTCATGTACAGACTCAATCAAACCGAGTCTGCAATTCTGTTATTTTGTTGTGATTAATGCTTCCGAGGGATCACTTTGTTTCCAGAATTTTGTAACATACTCCTCACAGTGATTACCTCCCTTGGCAGATCTGTGCTAATAACGGGAGATCACTGCGTAGGAGATTGCTTGATTCATGCTGACAGTTTCAATATAACAAACAATATAGGCTGTGATCCCCATAGAAATTTATAAACACTTCTCAGGAATCTATACACATTGTTTGATTTAGAAATGTGTGCATAACACCGGATTTTATTCTTACTTCAGGCGGATATGTAACATTATGTACTGTGGTGCTAGCCGATTTATTTGGGGCCGACCTTATTGCCAAGTCGTTTGGACTGCTGATGTTTTTCATTGGCGTTTCCGGTTTTATTTCTACGCCAATAGGAGGTCATTATTTTCTTTCTTACTTAGAGAGTTTGTTTGTTTGTTCGTCACTCATTCATTCGTTAGCCCAGTCATTAATTCATTCATTAATTCATTCTTGTATTCATTTTATGTATAAGTAGGTTATATATTGTACAAACATATTTTTATCTTGACTTTAAGTTCGCTTGTTCGTTAGTTTTTTCGTTCGTTTGTTTGTTCATTAATTCATTCACTCATTCGTTCATATTTTAGCTATGAATTTCATATAAAAAGTAAATATACAAACATGATAATCTTTCTGGATCTGGATAAGCAATTTTGATAAAAACATATACACATTATGCAGGTGATATGTTTTAAACATTAAAATAGTTATTTAAACACAAAAAGAACATATCTTATATGTTAATTATTGAATAATTTTCAATCCTATGAGTTTATTATCATTGCTTGATATATCATAGTTTGATTTTGTAGATTACACTTCTTAATTCTCGTTCGTACCACTTGCCAGTCACATGCAGCTATGGGAAACTTTAAATTCCGTCTTAAACATTTTTTTCATGCAACATCAATGGTTCTACTAATACACCGATTGAGGGACACTTGAATTATGTCTCCATCAGATAAGATGGGTAGTCTCAAAGTGACCTGAACAATGTGTGACTAAAATATAGCTAAAATCGTCTCATACATTTATAGGCTAGTAACATTTATTATTTTTGACAAATAAAACTAATGTGCCCACTAAATGATTTAGTACGTTGCCTTTTCAAAATTTTCTTTCAATATTTTACTTTTTCAGGGCTGCTTTTTGACCTGACTGGGAATTATCACGCAACTTTTGTAGTTGCCGGCGGAGAATTTCTTATTGCAGCTTTTCTTTTACTCTTGCTAAAATTACTGTAAACAGAAATAAAATAAATTTATTAAAAGAAATAAACATACTTAGTGCATGCAGTCTTTTATTATTGTTCGTGTATATATCAAATAGTTTAATTCATATTGCAGTTTATTTGATTCATTCCGTTCCGTTGTTTTAACAACAAGTCCTTACTAAGCACTTAGCAGCTCGGCTGAAAGTGACCCCAATCGTCGGACGGGTTCACATTCTCAGCATGAAGCTATATCCACTGACACACTGTAAAACATGCAGTTTATCCTCTTGTTTACGTCAAAGAACTGCCCAAACGGGCTCAAACCCGACGACAGTGATACAAGTACTGTGCATCTCGGCTTAAGGAAAGCAGGACCGTGTAGCGATATCTCAGGGTCGTTTGTCTTCATATTTTCGTCCCAGAATCGCCATAACGCCGGTACAAGCGCATTGCAGCTCGGCTGAAGAAAACCTGGATTATGTGACGAACTTGCATTAACCGGCCAACTCACATTAACCGTAAAACAAATTAATGCCTAGAGCCTACAAGACACTCTGGTAAAATATAAAAAAGTATACGCCTCTAAGTGCATGTTTTCGTGTCTACAATTTGAGTTCATCATACGGTCCGGGTTTTCTTCTGCCAAGCCGAACTTTGCTGAAACCGGCATCTAAGAAGGAATTCGTAGAGCCTACTGTAATACAGTGTATATATTTCCAGCTCGAGCCCGTCTTGGCATTTATCCGACTGACCAAAGTTTCTTCAGCCGAGCCACTCAGTGCTTAGATGTATCACACTTGATTCGCTGACATGTTTTCATGTTTTCACGTCGAAGATTTGAACCAGTCAGACTGTCCCAGTTTCTACAGCAAAGTCGAACTGAAGTGATATGTGTATATGTATTGATAATTCTATGACGGAAACAAAAGATACACTAGTACAATCTTACATGTAAGTCAATCTGATAAAAGTTCATGATTTTTGCGTCAGACGACAGTTTACTTTATCCTAGTCCCACAGTGCTTATACTAACCTCGTGGTGTCGCAAAAACCTCCAATACACGCATGTGTTCAAGACTATGCGACTTTGCGGAAGGATACATTGGCCGTCTGACAGGCACGCATTGCCATCGCACTACATGGTCTTAAAACAAATCCCCTTAACTTTTGTCCTAGCCTACTTCTTGTTTACGTCACAAAATCGCCTAGTCTGTATCACAATCAATAAACGAAAGCACTGCGCAATGCATTGCAAAACTATTAAATTAAATGTTTATCATTTTTGCTATATGAAAAGCACCTTCTTGTCACTGCACCCCTTTTTTGAGCCTAATATCTTAATTTTGATCTTTCTTTATACTTCTTTGTTAATATATTTATTGTATGTATCCAGTAAATCACTTAACTTGATCACGTTATTTAGCAAATGACCGACTATGTTAATGTACTTCTAAGGACTACGAAGAAAAATAACTCTTCACTTTTTGATAGAGGTAGTGTACGATTATTGTCCCTTTGATTATGGAGTCTCGAAAGAAGCGAATCATTTTTTTTATGAAGTGAGAACAATGTATGCATCATTGAGAAACATTAGGTAACTTACGGTATTTTTGTAAGAAGCATTCAAACAGATATATTGTATTTTAAAGGACATCGTGGTATAGACTTATCAAAACGCGCCAACTTAAATGCAGAAACGTTAGGTTTTATCTGTTGACAAAGGATTACATTACCTCGTGCACTTTATGTGTTACTATATTAAACAATGTCCTCTTTTTATTAAAGAGGACTTTAAGCGTGTCGAGAAATGCGTTCAGTCGTTTAGTGCAGAAAAGTTAAAGATTTATCTGTTGACAAAGGACGGTGTGCACTTTAATAGCCTGTATTAAATTACATTTATGCAACGAACGCAGTAAACCGCTATTTACACAAGATAATGCAAGTCACTCCTGTAAGAAATTCTAAATAACATTTGTTTTTCCGAATCACGTGATCTGAATGATTATAGAAAGGAAACAAACTGAATGAATATAATAAACAGCATTATAAGTATACTATTTTTTTTTTCAAAGACGAAATGATACAGTTATTTTACAAGGTGTATAAACTCAAATCTCCATTATTGTTGTGCTTTGAGGATGCAATTTTCACACTGGAACACTTATTTGTAATGTTTGTTTTCCATCAATAAAATTCACAATTTAAAGTGATGTAAAGCTGGTTGTTTCATTGTGAAGTTGAGCTGAATTGACTATATGCATGTATCTTTTAAAGATTGAATGTTATAATGGTGATTGACCAACAGAAACTGTTGGTATTGGAAAATGTTTAGGATGAAATACTACTACTACAGCTGCAACTGCTGCTACTGCTACTACTGCATCTACTACCACTACTGCTGCTACTACTACTCGTATTTCTACTAATACTAATACTGCTGCTGTTGCAACTAATACTAATACTGCTACCACCATTACACCACCACCACCGAAGGCCGAAGGCTAATTTGATAGTCTGAAGCACAATAACAAGGCCGGTATGAAAACACTTAATTATTAACAGTATAATAATACTAGTAGTAATAATAATAATAAAATTTTAAAAAAATAATAATAAAGAATAATAGCGATGATGATAACGATACTAATACTACTACTATTTTATTACATGTATTTAACTATACATAAACTAAAAAAATTAATTAATTAGTGAATAAAAAATAATTTATGCGAAATTTCCGTTGTTTTCAGGTATTGCAAATGACGTTCATGTTTTAAAAATGTCTCGGAAACCTACCTTGCAGCAATTCTAAAAGGCGAATTTTTTCAATATTCATAATGGCCGAGCTGGGGAGCCAATCATAATTCTCTTATCTCATAATAGCAGAGTTTTCTCATAAAATTAATGCCGTACTTTTTGCATAATGGCCTTGTTTTAAGATTCAAGATTCTTTATTAAGTAACGTAAACAAGTTATGTTTCTTGTTATATATATACATGATACAATTAACATATACATGTATACATATTACACATAACAAATACAAAAAAAGACATGAATGATTAAACTCACTGAAAACAAGTAAGCATAATGAGCATATACAAAAGGATGAACTATTTACAATTACAACAATATGTGAGCGCATGAACATAATATTATGATAATTATTTAACACAGACATTTTTACAATACATTTACACCACAGTATCAGATATTTATTGTACAATACCAAATAACGTAGAAATTATTATATTAAATTGATACACATGTAAGTGATTACAGGAAGTAGCCTTAATTAGCTTTAAGTCCATAATGCCGTGCTGAACTTCATATTAGCCTTACATTTGAAGTGAAAACTTGCCTAATATTGAAAAGTTAATTAATAAAAATGACAAAAAAATGACAAAAAAGTAACACAATTTTAAAGAAACCATCTAATGGCAACATATAATGGTATGATATGATATACATCAGCAGTTTGCCTAAAGGCAACATGTTTTATTTTAATTAAACAAAGTTCATTCAAAGTTTAAAGATGAGTCTGCCTACATAAAACAGCTGTTCAAAAGTTTAAAATCAAAAGTGCGCTTAGCGGACTTTAATTGTTGTATTCGACTTTTTATATGTTTTATAACAGTTAGATTTTCACTCATCTCTAAATTTACCATATTTAAATCAAATGCATCGGCATACTACGGTTTTTAAAACATTATGCTTGTGAAAGAAAAAATATTTGTAATCATGACACTTCGGCTCTCAGAATTGTTGATATGCATAAATTTTTGTAACACAATGTATGTCACCGATATACTGTAACTTTTGCTTTGCACAAAATACACTTAGATTTTTCTTTTCTTTTGAATGATATTTTACATTTCATTTACATCAAGGCGAGTTCTGAGTTATGACTGTGTCTAATTATGTAATTATTGCATCATATTTTCGGGGCCTGATGATGTATTTTGTACAAGTCTGAAATACAGTTTCTGTTCTGCTCTGCTCTGTTCCTAAAACTTATATTAAATGAACAGAACAGATCAGAAATGCTTTTGTATTGTCTTGTATTGTATTGTATTGTATTGTATTGTATTGTAAAAAAATCAGTTGTTTACTGCATCACGTCATCTTAATTACTAAAAAGATAATTACCCCGACCCAATACCAGGCCAATTCTTCCACGCTTCTGAACTATAAATCTATTATATATCAAATAGGTTGAAAATGAAATTTTAAATTTATAGGATGCATTTTAATCTTCTATGCCTTCCTGCACTTGCCAGATTTCTATATTTAGCTTTTCATTCAGGCTGTTATTGCCTATCTGTCATGCATGCGCATATTTAACTTTTTTCCACCCATTACATTGCCCGCTACGCTGCACTAGCGTTTAGCGGTAGGCGTGTTTTACATGTGACCTAATTTTAGTAAATCTATAGCCTGTTTCAAACGAAACAGCATCTAGGTTCGAAAAGTCATGGCGATCTACTCAGTATACTGTAGAGCAGTCTGACATAACGGACGTATCCAATATTAATGTCGGCATTGCTTTGTTTTGCCTTTTTCTGGATTACGGATTGAATCATTTCAGTAGTTAGTTGTGGACGCCGGTTTGGCCAGTTCTGAAAAGGTAAGATTTGGTTTTTTTGGGGGTTTTTTTTCTTCATTTTCTCTCTTATTTGTCGCGGGTGTTCTGATAATTATGTAAACGTTACGTAATATTCGATCGGTAAAAGATGCTGTACATATAATGCTGAACATATCTGAATTTCATAGCTTGTTAGAAACGATAACGCATGTGATTTTTTTTAATCTTACGGCCTTTGGCCTTGGGTTTACAATCTCTCTATTCAATATTTACATTAGTTTGGTCCGTGGTAGTGTATTAAGATAAAAGGTGAAGTGGGTTAGTGACCTGACGGGGCGCAGATAAGATGTCAGTTACACTGTTTGCTGACCCCCTTTCTTAAAACAATTTACTTAAATTAACATCTATGTAAATTTCATTTTTAAAATATAATTTGGAGCGTGGAAATATTTTAGGACATTTTTTTGTTAAAAAAGTACGAAACACATTCTTTGCTGCCAGGATTGTACACATTATATTTGGATATAGATCTATTTGAGTCTTTTTTTGTATTTCTATAGAGTGAGTATTTCACAATTTTCTACTGTGATAACGTTGGAGGGAGCAGTGACGTTTGAAAAACGAATGAAAAAAGGAATTTCTTACATATAATAATTGACATATGTCTTTATTGACACTTCCGCCGTGTAACCAAAACAATTTCCATCATCTGGGACTGATGCAATCAGACACAGAAGGTAAGAAAATACACCTTATATAATTATATACATGTACATTAAATATAAATATAGAAAAATATAGATATTTTAATATAATGAATTTTTAGTAAGTTAAATTAAAATTAATTAATTAATTTGTTTGCTTCTTTAATAATTATTAATTGCTTTATTTTATTTTATTCAGACAAAATATAAGGCCTAACATGATCATATGAAAGCCTCAAAGCTGATCACAAACTTACATGTATATATACATGTGTATATTCTGTATGAAAGAAAGAAATTGGCTTAAAGGCACATTATTTTCCAAAAATACAGAGAAAACAAACACCTATACAAACAAAAGACGATGAAGCTTTAAGGCCAATGACTTTTTCGGAAACTGTAATAAAAATTAAGCTTAATAATTACTTATTTTGGCCTTAATAACAGACAAAAAAAATGAATGAAATTAACAAATATTGTTTTATTGTTTCTTTTTTGTGTGTTGGGGGTGGTGGGGTTTACATTGCGGTATTCTAGTCCAGCACGCAATGCAAAAAACTCACTCAAGATTACGTTCCGTTTTTGTTGTTGTTGTTTTTGTTGTTGTTTTTTATTTGTTGTTTGTTTTTTTTTTGTGTGCAAAAATCAGTGAAGCATGCAGTGTATATATAATTTGCTCTTGTTGCCAAAAAAAATCAAGATTTATTCCGCTGTAGGTGCTTTTTCTACCAGCCTGGTTACATCCACAATGAGAATAAATAAATAAATAAATAAATAAATAAATAAATAAATAAATAAATAAATAAATAAATTTAATAAATGAATTTAATAAATAAATAAAAAAGTAAAAAAAAATATTAAATAAATAATTAATTAATTAATTAATTAAATAATCTGACTAGGTATATACTATAATCCAAAAGTAGTTTATCATGATTTATGAGAACATAGCAAATTTCTGTACAGGTAAGCCCGAGTTAGCTATTTTCCAGGGAAGTGTTTTCAGTGAAAAGGCAAGCGCATCATTAATTGACAAACTTGTAACTTAAACTTATCAACAAAATAAATTAAAGCAATACTTATAAATTTATATTTTTTTTTTACAATTTCAAATATATTTCAAACACATATTAAATTTCGGTGCTGACAGTATTGTCAGCGCTTTGATTTTGGTTATGATAAAACTACATTTTGGTGCGCTGCAGAGTTGATGCATGCAGCGTTCTTTTTCTTCTTATTATGAGTGAGATTGTTATTGGCAGACAGAACATCGAAATATAAGCATTTAGACTATTGTAAAAAAATCGTTTATTTTCGTACGATGAGTATGTGAAATGTTTGTCTAGGTTGCAGAGGGAAGGGGAAACAAATTAAATTCTCTAAAAGGTAGCCTATATCCTGCAAATTGTCTTTGTTGTGGTTCAGTAATATGTTTAAACATGCATTCTAAAACTTAAGTTTCGCATTGATGCATTGATTTAGTTATGTCAAATAAATTTTAATTGCACCATTTCCAGGTCAATCTCCCGCCATGTACGTACATTATGTAAAAGTATTACATATAATATTCTTTGTTGATATAATTGTTTATGACAATCGTGTCATGTTGACAAGTCACGCTGGAATATTGATATTTAATAGTTTGTGTAAAAGTAAACATTATGTTTACGTTACAAAATATGATACTGGGAAAAGGAACAACCAATAGAAATACTTACATCAAGTTACTTGCTATCGCGTATATACTGCTATATACCTAGAACGCTTTACGAACTTTCTGCACTAATGGTTGTACTGTGTCATGATCACGTGGTACACTAAGAGTTTTATAAAGTTTTGTTCAAAAGAAAAAAGGATAAACCAACCAAATGAAAGACTGTTTTACGAAGCCGTTAACAAAAAATATCTGGCCGTGTGTTTTCTAATGAAACTTCGGTTAAAACGTTTGATGTTTGCTGCCTAATTTGGTATTCGTAATCTAACCACTATAACCTTGAAAATATTTTGTAAAGGTAAACAATACGCCAAGTTATGTAGAAATTTGATATACTATATATCAATAGTTCTTGTCTCGGGTTATCATGAAAAGAAGTCGTGACCAGTTTTTTTTAAAGTCTTATAAATATTTAAAGTGTTTAATAATACTTAAATGCAAGAAAACATGACTGTGAATGCTATTGCACGGGGTATAGCATTTTATATGACGATCACAAAGTGCTAAAAGGTAATGTTATTAGGTGAATGGAAATAACCGTAAAAAGCACGTTAACAAGTTTACAATATATTTGATGTGTTAAGCTATAAGATTAAAAACAAAATGTTCAAATTCTATTCACTTACGTTATCGGACAAACAAAGTAAAATTTAAATACTGGTCTTAGGTCAGCGACCCCTATATTTGAGAAGCGGTCATTAACCATGAATCAAGGACATGTAATTTTTACTATCAGTCACTGACCTTGATAAATTCTCTTATGGAAGTGGCTTTAATGTACTAAAAAGGATAATGGCTTTTATAGTACAGTATGATTTAGAAGGCAAAAAATAGGCAGTAGACACCCGGTGAAATAGAGCCCAGGTTGCATTATACATGTTTATATATTCTCTTCAAATTCTGGTAAAGGGGCAGTCTCAATGAAAGCAAATGATACATAAAACTCTAATAGGTAATGAATATGGCAGAATCTACTTACGACAGAAACATCTCTAATGCCCGTTAGCTCCGGATTTAGGTGTGTTCAACCTTAAGTAATTTCTTTTAGTTTTAGTCACAGTTTTTTGTTGTTGATTTTTTAATATAAATGGATTCCTACATTTCGAAATTGTACCGAAAAGAATGCTGGGACCATATTTTTTTATTTATTTATTCCTCAAATAAGAATGTGTGTGGGTTTTTTTCTTTTCCTGTTTCATACAAAAGTTTTTGAGGATTGTGCCAGGTTTCATGCAAGTATGAGCCGTGTCATGACAAAACCAACATAATGGTTTTGCGACCAGCATGGATCAAGACCAGCCTGCGCATCCGCGCAGTCTGATCAGGATCCATGCTGTTCGCTTATCAACTCTATTACAAGTGGAGAAACTGACAGCGAACAGCATGGATCCTGATCAGACTGCGCGGATGCGCAGGCTGGTCTGGATCCATGCTGGTCGCAAACGCACTATGTTGGTTTTGTCGTGACGCGGCTCAAATATTTATGAATATCTTATCATTTCAAAACTCTGTCCACAAACATAATTCATACAAATCATGAACAGATTATGTTCTTAAATAAAGATGATTGAAAAAAAGGTGAATAAATCTGCTAGATTTCACAATTCTGCGAAAGTTTGAAAACGTGAAAATAATATATATCATTAAAACTTAAAATAAGCTGATTTGGAAAAAAATCACATTTGAACGTATTGTTTTTTTTTTTTTTTTTGGTTTTTTTTTTGTTGTTGTTGTTGTTGTTTTCCAAAACAGCTTATATCAAATTAAATGATTTATATGATAAGAACATAATGTTCTGGGATTGACAACTATATATATATATATATATATATTATTATTTTAAAGGCTTTTTGAGCTCCACACCTAAAGTGTCTGTGCTCTCGCAAGAAAATATTGAAACAGACTATATTTATAACACTGACCCACGGTCAGTTCTCACCTGAAATGACCTTTCCTTGTCACACCGCCTACGTCTCTAGTTTGTTTCACATGTACTCCAGTTTTACCTTAGATGACATTTACACTAAAGTTAAAGCCTTTCTCTAACATTCACGAAGTGACTTTAATTTGGCCGGTCCTCAGGATGGATGGTCACGTGAAATTTGTTAACAGTAGCATCAATAAAATTTGGTCAACGCTAATTGCCGCACCTATCACTTAAAAGGTATTCGCTATTCTTTTTTGTTATATATTAAAAGACTTGTACCATGTTACAAGCAAATATTTGCCGATTCCAATGGTACATAACTTTCCATTAGTGGCTATATTATCTTTCCCCTCATGCTTGCAGGATTAGTTTGTTTTTTTTTTGCATGAAAATACGCGTTAGCATTGTGTCACATTTTTTTTGCACTCATATCGGGAAAAGGACATAATAAAACAGCTACATTAGAAAAATAAATACGTACCATTTAAATCTGTAACAAGAAAAGCATTGATGCAAAGCATCAAAGGGCGACGCCAAAAGAATTTGATCCAGGTTTGCACCTAAATACTTAACAAAAGATGTGTACTTTATAGCAGTACCATTTCATGTGACCTGGAGGCTAGGCCCAGTTTAAGTTGAAACTTAAACCAAAAAGAAAAGACTCTGTCTTGCCAAGATGCAAAGACAATTTATAGTCAATTAACTAATCTTACGATTTATTTTACCAAATACAAGGATACCTGAGTCATCATCATATAATCACAGGCACGAGTATCGGACATGGGAAGAAAAAATATGACCAGATTGATAAAAAAAGTGTGTTCATCTTAAAAGTGTCAAAAACCAAAAAAAAAAAATATAAATAATGACCCCCTTTAAAAATATACTATTAACTTAAAGTATATTTTTAAAGGGGGTCATTATTTACATTTTTTTGGTTTGTGACAATTTTAAGATGAACACAAGTTTTTTTATCAATCTGGTCATATTTTTTCTTCCCAGGTCTGATACTTGTGCCTGTGCATATAATAAAAGCTTTTTGCTTAGGTTGCAGACATGTCATTGACATATATTAGACATAAAAGAGGACCTAAAATGAACATCAGGGGGACACCATAGGTACTCAGAGCAGTAGTAGAAGGAGTACCAGCCACATCAACCAGCTGCTATCAGAGATAAGACTTGAACCATGTAAGAATGTCATTACATATGGCAGATGTTTGAAGTTCCATGAAGAAGAAGAAAAAGAACTTCTTCATGTGCAGTATAGTGTGATCAACTGTATCAAATGCTTTTTGTAGATCTAAAAGTATCATGCAATACTGCCTTTGTCCATTTCAAATAAAATACAATCTATTAAATGAATCAAACATGTGTCAGTTGAAAAACCAC